CCTCCTACACTCTGCGTCAGGAGAGAGGCCCTTCTTAGACTTGCGAGAGATCAGCAATATCTTGGTCTGTTGGAGACCTTGTTGGACTGCCAGAGGTTCTCTGACTTTTTTAAATAGGATTCCATAACGATATTCACAGGCTGCAACGGAAGGTTTCTCGCGCAATAAGGAAGTTGGATTAACCAAATAAAGTGGGTAGCTTATTGAGAACCTTATCTAAGAATCTCATAGTCTGGAGTCTATAATTCAGTAGATTCTACGACCGCTATTAGACAAGACTTGATACAGGAGGCAACCGAAGTGCTTTGGGTCAATAAAGCTGCTTTATTAATCAAAAAGTTAATGAGGACATCCTTTAAGAAAATCTCTTACAGTATATAATTCTCCAGATTCTACGACGTATTTTCCGTTCGCAAACAGAGTATGTTGCAGTTGCTCGCATTCAACATCAAAGCACTCAGTTGTTGTTCTTTCTTTTTTTTTCAATTGGCAACCACATTTTCTATTAGTGTAAATATGCAAAGTACATGAAGACATGAGGCTCCACTTCCGTTATGAGCGTAAGCGAGAAATAACCATAAAAATGTTGAATGTAAAATGCAAAGTGTAACTTTGTTGTGCCCTCCCTCTGGATAATGGAGGAGGGGGAGGTGCAGGCGAAAATGGGGCAAGAAGGGGACAGGGGGAAAGGGAAATTTCTGCTATTTTGGCATTTTAAATAACATTTGCGGGTCATATTTAAAATCTCTTTATATCGCGCCTCTCTTATTTTTCATTTACACTTCATTTGACGAGCGCTCAAATTTAAAGCGAATGCCATTTAATGCAAATGAAAATGAAAATGAAAAAGAAAATGCCATTTGGGAGCAAACAAGAAAAATTAGCAGCGCAATTTGCAAGCCAGAAAATTCCTGGACACGGCCAAACGAATAAGCAAACATTTTTCAATCATTTATTATCTGCAGCGAAATTTTAAATTCCGCAAAAAAAAAATAAAATTTTAGCTTTTAAATTTCCAAAGTGTAAAACACAAACAAAACTTATTATTTAAAATGCCTTTGACAATTTGAGCATATTAATTTACAAATTTTAATCAAACACTGGTAATGGGCGTTGGTTATTGAGGTGTCTAAAATGAAATACGCTGACACTCTTATTGTTGATTGATTATCTATTGATAGTTTATAATTGATAATTATCAATACATTTCCGTGCTTAGCCATGCAAAAGTTTGTTATTAAAAGAGCAAGAGCATATAATATTATTATTTAAATATATGTGTGCCAAATGAGAAAGAAATGCCAATTAAAAGAACTTTATATTTGTCTGCCAGCCATAAAAGAAACTATCTATGCCGTGTAGCAGACTTTTATGGACATATATGAGTATATGTAACAGGATATTAAAACTGATATAAATATATCATTTTATATACATGTGAAGCAAATGGGATCGCAAAAGCTTGACTATCTATTCTATAAATTTCAGAGATAACTTAAAAAGATTTTAATGGACCTATATGGGTATAAAGAGCAATATAGTTTAACTGCTTTAAATAAAATTATTTTATGAGGTCGCAAAAGCTTGACAACATTCAAAAAACTCTACGGAAGGGTATAATACTTACAGCCCGCGATGGGAAATTTTGTAAATAATTTTCAAAATTCTTCTAATTATTGACAGAAATATTTTTGTGCATAAGCTACAAATTTAAACGATTGATAACAATTTTGAAATTTTACAAAGTGAGCCAAATTAAATATTAAGTTCCATTGTAAACGAGCTTTTTGGACAGATTTTTAACAATTTTAACAGAGGCTCCTGCAATGGGTCGGGAGTATTTTCATTGGTCGTTTCTTTGCTTTCAATTGCGGGCTTATTCAAATGAACAGTGCCTCACGCTGCTTATCAAAGACAAAAATGAAATATTAATAATGCGCCCCAGTCGGGGGCTTTTGGGGGCATTGCTGCAGCTGGCACATTAAATATGTTGGCGTGCGCGTTGGCGAATTCGTGGGGCACAGCTCAAAAAAAAAAATAAATGCAAATTTCACCGGCGAGCGGACAGATTCGGGTATCACTTTAATGCCTTTCACTTTGATTTTGAGGCGGACGCGCGACGCGCGACCCACGGCAAAATGCAACACGTGCCCCATAAATCAACTGCGGGCCGTGCGTGTATGCCTGGGCTTCACTGTAAGCCATTTGCAAAAATCAAATCAAAAATAGTTTGAAAAGTTCCAAGTGCTTAACTCTTGGCCAAGGCGCAGAGAATGCGCTCCCCAGTCGAGGCGACAAACAATGCAACAAATTGCAGTCAGTGCCACACACACACACACACACACACACACACAAACACACACACACACACACAACTCGACTCGACCCAAAGGAGCAACTTTGTAATTGTCTAGCGGCGACACGTGGGCGCCGCCGCGGCCACTCTGGCTATCACCTTCTCGCACAGAATAAAGTGCCTGCCATGTTGCCCCTAATAGGCAGACATAATCATCATCATCATCATCATCATCATGAACATCGTCATCATCATCAACGTCCTCAAGAAATGGTTCACCTTTCGCCAGCGTCGAGTGTTGGCATTGTCTTTCCCGGCTGCATAGCTGAAATAGCAGCGCATTCGATATGCCATAGCCGGGCATTGCCGCTTAACACTGTGCAACACAACACCGGGCACTTGGCCAAAACTAACATTAGCTGTAATACAATTTTTATGGCTCGCATAACCGACTGCTCAATGCTTTCTTTGGAGTCTAAAGACTGTATTAGAGACTCGCAGCACATCCAAAATCTGATACCTTGTTAAAAACATACTATTTTAATGCCCTTTGTATATAGCAATTCGAAAACAGACCAAAAGCCGTTTACTTTACGCAATTTTTGTGCTTCTTTTAAGCGTTTCCCTTTCTAGAAACATGAAAAAAACTTGATAGATAAATAGATAAATCGAAGATAGATAATGAGGGTATAGAAGTGTATATATTCAAAGATCATATCATATCTAACAAGACTGTCTGCACAGCGCACACTATCATACATAACTGTGTAGAAAGAGTGTCAATTATTTGTTGGATAATGTAAAACTGGACTATTCTCACACGCGGCCTCAATATGCGGCTCAAGTTCTTTGCAATGTTTGACGCTGGCGCAGTCAAAAATTTAATTGAATGAAAGCCTTTTATGTCGTCTGTTAATTTGCTTTGAATGAAGTTGAATATTTGCCACGCCCCCTTTTTCACAAACACACACACGCACACACACACACGTGCGCGTCGCCTGCATATATGTGAGTATATATATAGTTTGGAGTTATCGCAGTCGGTTTGCCATTTGCGGGTGAAAATGTCAAGTTGACTTTGCCTGCACCTCGCCAGTTGGTGTGTGTGTGTGTGTGTGTGTGTGTGTGTGTTTGCCGCGGAGCTACGTGCCTGGCGAGTGTGTGCGTGTGTAAGAGGGGTGATGGGTGAGTGAGTGATGGGGGGAGGAGGGGGGGGGGTCTCTCTGGCTGTGGATTTGCCCTGGCCCTGTGCCTGATTATAGTGTTAACCCTCTGAACTTGCAGCAGGTGCGCCAATGTCAACGTCGACTTCCATTCAAATGTCGCCATTTCAATTGCCCGACTGCATCTATGTGCGTGTGTGTGTGTGTGTGTAAGTGTGTGTGCGTGTATAAGTATGTGAGGCTGTTGCAATTGTTTGCTTAACTATTTCATAGTTGTTAGAAATTTGTTTAATGCATGAAGTGGCGGTTACTTGGCGTATACGTAATGTCTGCCACACTCTAATGCAGCGAGGGAGAGAGTGAAAGAGAAAGTAAGACTGAGCGAGAGAGGGAGAAAGAGCATGCTGATGAGCAATTAACAAACAATTGCAACGTTTTTAGTCAAAAATAAACAGTGCGGCAAATGTGGACAGACGATAGACGAGCACGAAAACGAACAGGGCCAAAGAATGACACTCAGTGAAAGGAAGGCCCTGGGAAAGGGAAAGTAAAAGTACCTCAGCTAAGCGAAACATAACGAAAGGTACGCACAAAAAACTGTAAGCCAAGCGGGCAAAAATTGAGTTACACGGCTGGAAAAATGGCGAAGGTTTTTGTAATTGTTTCTAGGCCTAAAAAAATCCTCCAGGTTTTGAGCCCGACCCGAGCTAAAATTTCTTGGTCTAAAAGGTCAAAGAAAAGGTATACAAATTCTTGAATTAATTACAAAAAAGTTACTTTAAATAGTATATGTACTTAATTCAAGCTCCAAAATAATCAAGAAGAATAAAAGCTGATAATATAAAAACTCTTGAATATAGTTGCTAAGCAAAAAAAAATGCAGAGAATTACCACGCGTTCGCCTAAACCAGGATTGTAATTAGGACATATTGACTCCTTTTAAGATTATTTTAGTCTTATTTGAGGGTGAAAATTGGGATAATTTAAGAGTTGGTGGCTGTTTTAGTCTTATTTTGAGAGTTATTAAAATATTTAATTCAATACTATTTCGCTGTTAAGGCTGAAAAGCGTGACAAACAAAGCTTGGTTCAAGTATTTTCGTACTTAAGTCATACTTGAAATAAGAATTTTATACTTGAAATCAGTTCTAATCAATTCAAGTACGAAATTCTTGATTTTTCGCCGCGACTAAATATTTTTGTGATTATGGTAAAAGCTTACAAATGCTAGAATCTGCTGCTCTTACAATCTACAATCGGGTAACTGAGTTTTGATTACCCTTGGTTTTTTGTTTTTTCCTTTTTTTTTTGCCTCAAATCTTGTCCTAAGCCTTGACATAGTTCATATGCCCGTTTTGCCGTTGCGCGCGCACACAAAAAACTGCTCACATTGCATTCTTTTTCAGATGCAGCGCGCAAATTTTTGCTCATAATTAAAAGCTAACAAGAGGCAAAAGTTGGCGCTGCTCTAACTAGTGAGTAGAGGGGGCAGCGGAGGAAACGGGAACGATGAGGGGTTGGTGGGGTTGGTTTTGTACTTACCCGCTGCTAAAGCGCTGACAACATTTGCAGTGACATGCGGTGATGTTGCCGCTCTTGGAAGAGTTGTTGTTGCTGTTGCTGTTGGGGATGTTGTTGCTGCTGCGGCTGTTGCTGCTGCTGTTGACCCAGCATGCCTCGGACTCGACGCCGACAATAATAATTTGGCGCCAGCAGGAGCATTTGTTGAGTTTGGCAAAATTTCAGCTACTTGGCTAGCATCAGTCGACTCGCTGCTGCTGCTGTTGCTGTTGCTACAACTATTGCCAAATATTTGATGCACAGGCGGCAGCACATCTTCATAATGCAAACTATCCGGCGTAATGTGCGTGGCCAGCGCTGCAGTTGTTGGCTCAGCGGAAGCTGTAAAGTTATGCTCATCATCAACGTCAGATTCAAGCGCTGACAATGTCAGTTGTTGTTGCTGTTGTGTTTGATGTGGCTGCTGTGCTGATTGTTGTTGCTGCTGTTGCTGTTGTTGCTGCTGCTGTTGTTGCTGCTGCTGTTGTTGCTGCTGCTGCTGTGTTGCTATCGCCTGCTGTGTGGCTGCGTTTCGCTTGCGATTGTAGTACTCATAGTTTGCTGCTGTTGTTGCTGTTGTCTCATCATCATCATCTGCAGCAGCAGCAGCTGCTGCCTCCGCCGCAGCAACAGCAACAGAATTTTCGCTGTCATCAGTTGTCGTTGTCGCCGTTGCTGCTGCTGCATCCGTGGTCGTGGCTATGATTTTATCCTCGACCATAAATTGCACTTTTTTGCGCGTGCTCGACGCCGATGTGGGCGTGGGCGTGCCCGTGGGCGTTGGTATATAGAACTGTGACTTGCCCGAGGGCGTCAGCAGCGGCGCCGTTGCAGGCGTTGTGGCAGCATTGTCTGATGTCAGCCCAAGCGAAGGCGCAGGCACAGGCACAGTCAGCTCCAGCGTAGACGGACGTTTCAGTATGGACTTGATGCCGGGCGTAATAGTAGGCGTGACAGTGAGCACGTGGCTGGACGGCAGCTCATCAGGCGTAGCCACAGCAGTTGTTGCTGTGCTGGAAGCTGCTGCAGTTGAAGCTGCTGCATCCAGCGTTAGGTTTGGCAACTCTTCCGACTTCTTGTTGCGCGGTGGACGCCTTGGATTATTAACTGCTGCGGCTGTTCCTGTTGCCGGCGGCGACGGTGACTCCGCGGCAATCAGTAGACGCTCGGCAGGCGAATCGTTTGGCTTTTCGCCCAGGCTAATGCGCTGACCCGCAATCGCAGCCACATTGTTGCTGTAGAACTTGCGCTGATCGCGTTCCCGCTGCTGTTCCCGCTGCAACTGCTGCTCATCCTCGTTTAGCTGGGCATCGGCCACATCAAAATCATCGTTGTTGGGCAAGTTTTTGGTCTTGGCTTGGCTTTCGACTGAGATCAGTTCGTAGGGATTGACATTGCAGCGCAAGATGGAGCGACGCGTGCTGCCCACCAGTCCGCTGCATTGCAGCAGCGACTCATTGTCCTCCATTAGCCAGCAGTCGGCGGGATCTGGCGTCGGCGGCGGCAGCGGCGCACGCGTTCTGGTGCGTCCGCGCTGCATGCCTCCGACTGCGGCGGCCTTGGGCGTGGCAGTTGCATTCGCAGTCGCTGAGGCAGCTGCGTCGCGGCTACGTGACTTGGCGTCCTTTGAGCTGGCGGGCGCTGGCTCGACGCTGGGCTCCGGCGACAGCAGACGTGTGCGTCGCATCAGGTCATAGGGATCCTTTTGCGGATCCAGAATTGTGGGACGTGAGCGCTTCGTGGCGCTCACCACGCGCATTGTTGCCGCCATGGGTCGCCGGCCGGCGGCAGCGGCAGCAGCTGCCAGTTGTGGCAGCCGCACCGTGCCTCCCCCGCTGATGGTGGCCAGAGGCAGGCGAGAACCTTTGCACTTCTTACACACGCTCGCTTTTTTCACGTCACGTTTCGTCCCATTCAGATACTCCGGGCACGAACAGATCACAATTGCCAGCGCCCCGCCGCCGCCCCCTGGCTCCCCATCGCTGGCGAAAATGGCCGCCGCATGCGGATGCCCATAGCCAGGGTAGGCGGCGGCGGAGCGTGCGGGTATACCGCGCACCGTGCCATAGATCCAGGGCTCGGCATACTTCATGGAGCGCGACAGAGCGCTGGGCACAAACTCATAGCCGGGCGGCGGTGCGGCAGGCGGCGGATAGCCCAGATGTTGCAGATGTCGAGGCGGATGCGATTGGAGCTGGGGATGATATTGGAGCTGCTGCTGCTGCTGGTGATGTTGTTGCTGCTGCTGCTGCTGCTGCATGTGCAACAGCTGCAGGGTCTGCATGCCGCCGACCGTGGCTAGAGAAGCGTTTTTGCTATCGCTGCTAATTTTGAGCCGTTGACTCCAGGTTTTCTTTGATTTGTCATACATCGGCGTGCGGTGCTGCAAAGGGAGAGGGAGGGGGGGGGAAGAGTGGGTATTAAATGGTTTAACTTTCGGTTTACTCAAAGTTCACCTTTCACAAGTTGTTGCTGTTGCTGCTGCTGCTGTTGCTGTTGCGCACATAATCCCCAATTTGAATTAATGGCTTTGATGTAGCTTGGACTCGTCGGCTGCCTGGTTATCAACTGTTGCCTGCAAAGGAATATGACAGAAAATGATTAAAGCGCAACGTCCAGCGGGAAATCCGTTTAGAAAAGTTTATTATTGAAAAAGTTGAAAATGCGATTATATGTGCACCAGACGAAGTCGAGGCCTAGAGCAAGGGGTTGCCTCCCGTCTCAACTCTCGTCTCGGTCCGCTGGGCAGCAGCTGCATTAATATTTTGAGTAATTTAATGAGACGACCAGCCAGGCTGTGCTTAGTCTGTTGACAAATAGCTGAGATTAACAATGCCCAAGGGCCATAACACGGCTCGACAGACATATCATAGCTATAATCGGGGCAGTTCTCTAAAACGCTTTCGCCACAAATGTGTCAAAATGTAGGCAATCAGCTAAAAGAATTACACGCAAGTTGAAAGGCATCTCTTACAGGGTATATTGTAGTTCATAAGAAGAAGGTACATCTATATAAAGAGAGAGAGAGAGAGAGAGAGAGAGAGAGAGAGAGAGAGAGAGAGAGAGAGTAGCAAAAGAAGAAAATCTTTTTGTTATGTCTAAAAATTCGTATATAGACATGAGTCAAAATTTCTCACACCCATTACTCGGTCAAAACTTAACCGATTTTCACGACGATTGGCTTTTTTCTCTGAGCCTCTGAGGCGTCAAATTTCCCTCTTGAAATGAAGCTGAAAATATTGATATCCCTGCCACTGTCACGACATTGATTTATTTTAATATCCAACATAACTTTGAGCTTATAAGCTTTAGAGGCACCATGAATGCAGAGTACTTCAAAAGTGGCCGACTAACAGTTACGCCATAAACAACAAAATTAACAACAGGGTATTTGCAAGCGAGCAACTTTGACTATAGCACTCATTACTTGTTGCTCACTAATATTAATTGGCTGCTTGTTGCTGCCGCTGTTGCTGCAGCTGCTGAGCGTATTGTATCCAATCAAGGTGAAAACTCAATTTGGCCCCTAAGTAGACAAGAAGTGCCCCACAAATCGCAAGTAATTTTTTACAATTTTCACACAAGCTGCGAAGAAAATATTCGAAATCAAATAAAGCAGTCAGCAGCATATAAAACCGCACTCATCTCAGCTACCGAGTGGCCACTGTAGAAAGAGGCGAATCGCTGTGCGAGACGAGCGGGAAAATGGGGAAAATTGTCGCGTGGGCGGGAATATGTTACTGTTGTTGTTGTTGTTGATCCCTTTGTTGTTGTTGTTGTTCTTCTTTTCAACTTTGTTTTCATTTTTGGCGAGTGAATTTTTGGTTGTCATGGTGACCACTTTTCACAATCTAGCGACTGCCCACAAAATCTTTGCAAGCGGCTTACAGTTCACTTGTGCCCGCGCCAAGTTGTTCTCTTAGTTGTTCTTGTTGTTCTCCTAGTTGTTGTAATTTTTCTCTTAGTTGTTGTTGTTTAGCAGCTCAGCAACGCTTCCTGCGTGCCGCTCCACGCTTGCGGATATTAATCAAAATGCGCCAAACGCAACCGCACAAAGGCCTCCTCTGCGCCCCCGTCTCCCGTCTCAATCTCCATCTCCAGCTTCTGTCTCCGACTCTGTCTTCATCTCCGGCAGCTGACTTGGCACACCGGACACGGCAGCTATAGCCATGTGCCCTGCCCAGACGCTGGCATACTTTGGCTTAGTTACCGCTGCAATTGTTGCTGTTGTTGCTGTTGTTCTTTTTCTTGAGGTGCTGCTTCTGGGCGAAATACGTCGCCGCGCGGCGCTGAAAAATGTTGATAAATGTTGACAATTTTTCCGGCAACCACTCGTGATAAATCTAATTTTTCTCTTGCTCGCCTGCCATTGCGTTCTTATAGTTGGCACCCACGGCATTGTTGCCACTCGCCACTCGCCAGTTGCCAGTTGCCAGTTGTTGTTTATTGTTGTAGTTGTTGTTGCTGTGACTGTTGCTCTGTTGCAGTTTTGATTACATGGCTGCTCCTTGTTGTTGCCAAGTTGTCGGTGTTGTTGTTGTTGCTTTTGTGTAGGTGTGAAGTAAAATTAAAAACGTGTCATTTTTTGCTTTATCGCGTGACGCCCATTTGGGCAAAATGTTGCCATGACCCAACGCCGTCGGCGGCCCAAACACAGCAGCAACAACAACAACAAATTGAAAACAGTTTATATTCCTTGGCCGAAGATCAACCACTCTTACACCAAATTTGGGCTCAGAAATTTACATGTGTATTATATTAAAATATATACTCTCTCTTCTTGGGGGTTTGAACTCCTAACTTCAGGCCCACAAAAAAATCGAAATTGTCCGCCGTTTTTTTTTCATGCTCTTTTTTAAATATACCTAAGGAAACCATAAGAGTTTATAAGTTCGAGTTGCAACTGGTTGTCTAACTTTAAGCCTTTTATATTAAATTTCTATGCTTATACAAAAATATATTTTATGACCGATTCTGCCATGCATATATAATGCTACAAGCTACAAGATTCGTTTTGTCAATGCCTTTAGAAATAGAAAACTTTAAGCAAGCTGACGAGCAGCTGGCTAAAGCTATATGAAGCTAGCTTCTTCACCTGATCAGGCATTTATTCATGATTATTCATGATCATTCATATAGCAGCAGTAGGAGTTGTCTGCCTTGATGCGTTACATAAAGCCTGCCCGAGCTAAAATACCCCAATGGAAGGGCATAAGAGCAACCAAACAACAAAATGTTTGAGTGAAATTTGAGCCACTTTGGTTGAAGCTGGCCTAGTCGGATATATTGTGTGGTTGAGAGGCTCTGCTCCGGATTGTGGCCAAAAAGCAAATAACAGTGTGTGTGTGTGCGTGTGTGTATGTGTGTGTGGTGCAGTGGTTAAATAGCTGGAATGCAACTCGAGTGCTAAGCTGGGCAAGTGAAGCATGCATCTTAGCCCCAATTGTGATTTGCTTCTATAATACTCTAATACGCTGATGAACTGCCTTTAATTACACTAATTGCAGCGGGGGGGTGGCAGGCGGTGGTTGGGTTTAGTTGGCCCACTAATTGTATTTAATCTTGTTGAATTACCTGGCTATACATAACTGTAATCGCTGGCAATTGTTAAATTACACGTACGTACGGTATTTGCATAGCGAATAAATTTGTATTTAAGCGGATTTATTGCCGCAGCCGAACCAACAACCTGCTCAGAATGGCATTCAGCCTATAATTAAGCGGTTGCGATTGTCTTTGGCCAAGTTGAGTGTCGTTTTTTTTTTCAGTGCTTCATAATTTTTCACGCTCAATTGGCTGCAGCTACCAACGAGAGAGTTGCACATTTTCCATTTCCTTAGGTTGGATTTTCTATTTTTTCTGTTCTTGCGCCAAATGCAATTTGTCATTATAAATTTACGTCAGTTTAGGCAAAGGCAAAGGCATTGGAAAGGAAACTTTTGGCCAAGCTGGGGAAAAACTACTGCATTTTTCAATATATTTTCCAGCTTGACTCTTCGCACAAAAGTTCACTACAAAAAACTAGGTGGGAAAAAGGTATCCGTTCTGCTATTGTTGTTGTTATTGCCACCCACAGAAAACTTGGCCGCAGATTGATGGTCGTATAAAAAAGTAGTTAACGCAATGCCGCAGTGGCTAAAACAAATGCCAGTTACGGAGCTTTGGCGTTGTCGCAGCCGCAGCTAATTAAGTGGCAGCAGGTTAAAGTTTAATACAAATGCAGCGTATCATTTGTCAATTAATAGAGCTCAAAGCTAGAGATGGGCCTTGGGCCGGCTGGGCACGAGCACGAGCACGAAACATGTACTTCCGAAAAACCCGGGCTCGAGCTCATGCTTCACTTTTAGTAAGAGCTGGTGATGAGATTAGCTGCAATATTCTGATATTCTTCAAGTCTGGGCTAGCTTTTTATCGTGCTTTTATTGCGCGACTTTGAGACTTCGAGGCACGAGTCCGTCGTGTCAGTTTCTTGGCCAAGGAATGCGCTCATCGCTACTGCCAAATCGTCTCACCCTCAACTAGAAACATACTTGCAGCATTTAAAATGCAATTAGAGCTGCGGTACACACACACACACACACAGCCATACACAGCCACACACCCGCCCGCAATATGCAGCATATGCAGCTAGCTAAACTAAGTAGTTGCGGTTGTAGCTGCAGCTCATACAATAAGCCGCTTAAAAACCAGCGGCAACCTAATGAGCTAACAACCAAGCTGAGCAGAGGGGTGTATAGGGGGGGGTTGAGGTAGGAAGGGTTGGCCGACTCACAGATCAAGGCTAACTAAAGACACATCAAGTATACGAGCCGTGCTGCAGCTGTTAAACAAGTAAAAATGTTAAAGTCAAGGCTGCTCGACGGGCAGATGCTCAGTACATGAATGTGTATGTACTAGTAAGCTTTAAGGGCAAACGAGGGGTAAAGGACAAAAATATGAAATAAATTGGATCTATGAATATAAGACAAGAAAGGGCTTACCAAGTCTCTAGTTCTTATAATTTGCAAGATTAGCTTAAAAGACAGCTCGATATTTATGTGTGTGCCATACAAAAATCTACATATGAAAGTTGGAATCTCTTTTAAACTTAGAGCTTCTCGACTTCATGTCGATATTAATCGATTTCTTAAAGTAACATAATCTTGGCCTGTGTTTGTTTCTCTTATATATGCAAATATAATTTAGTAAATAAAAACAAGTCATAGGCGGCAGTACGATATATATCGATCTCCAAATAAAACATAGTATTGGCCATACAAAAATCTACATTACAAATCTGGGTTGTCTTATAAACTTTGATAAATACAAAAAAGTCTTAGGCTGCAGATCGATATTCGCTTTTGTGACAAAAGATGCGAACTGTCGACTATTCAACTGGTTTTTCATCTAGCAAGCAAGAGTTTTCGGTGTCTCGAGCGATTATGTCCTCTTAAGCTGAGCTTATAGACAGAGATCAGACAGACAGGATATATATACACCCACTTGCAGTGTATACAGGGTGTAGGAATAAACAATTTCATTTAGCTGCTTTACAGAGCATCTTAATTTATTCAACTGATGCCAGCAAGAAAAATTGGCTAAGCAATGAGCGCATCCGCGCGAAGGGTGGAGCATAGAGGCGTGGAGACGACATAATCACCGCTTTGAAGCGCCCAATTCGCAGGCAGCTAAGCATGGCTCAGGCTAAGCAAGTCGAGGGATACGGCCAGCCGGTTGGGGATTCTTCTATAATTCCATGTGCAGCAGCTGCTTAAAGTGGCGCCACAGACGTGTGCAACATGGCAGGAAGCTGCCGCCTGCTAAAGGACCCGAACTGCGGTTGAGATGAAGATGAAGTGCCACAAGAGCTGGCAGACTGACAAACTGACAGACTGAGCAGACTGTGACGAGTTCGCTGAGCGGGGAACTGCACTTAATATATATTGAAATTAATTTATTGAAAATTCTAATGAATTAAGTTGCCTTTTTTTTTGTTGCTGTCGTCAGGCTGTTGCATGCTGCTGCCGCATGTTGCTGCTGCATGTTACATCAAGTGTCTGTTGGCAAATGTTGCCACTGGACGCCCACAAACAGTCGACAGATTTATGTTTGGACATATTAATTTATGCGCTTAGATGAAAATAGTTAAGTAAATTGCGAGCCCAGGCGACAGAGATTTATCGCAATGGACCAACTGCAGCAGCAGGAACTTTAAGTAATTTACTTAAATGCACAGCAGCTGAGAAAGAGAAAGAGAGGGAGAGAGAGAGAGAGAGAGAAAAAAAAAGGAAGGGAGAAAGAGAGATAGGGAGAGAAAAAGATAGTTAGAGAAAGAGGAAGGTAGAAAGAGAAATAGGGAGATGTAGAGAGGGAGAGATCTAGACAGACCAACATACTGAACGAATGTGAGAGAGAGAAAGCGCGTCCAATGCTCTGTTAACAAATGGAAAATGCGTATATTAGTTGTGTGTGCGTATAAAAGCCAGAGTGCACAAATTGAGCAACTGTCTTGCCAAATACCTGCTCTTAAGAATAAGTCCAAAATGTGTTCTAGGGGCCACACACTGCAATAATCGATATTTTTCAACGTCACAGTTTGAGAACTACTTTCTTGGGTTCACAGTGTAAACAAAAATTTCTGTTCAGCTGTTTGTATTGAACTGTCTGAGCTGTGAGCAGAGCATCAAGCGGTCAATGGCATCCGATTGCAATTGTTCTTGTTCTTGTGCGTGTACTTGTCTACAACTAAACTAATTGAATTTGCTGCTTTGTGAAATGTTAACAAGTTTTGCGGCGGGTGCAGCTCGTAGGCATGCAAAACTTTTAGAGCAACACACATTAAAGAGCTGTGACAAATGCTGCAACAGCAACAAGAGCAGCAGCAACAGCAGCAGCAGCAGCCATTAAATTTGTGTAATTAACCAGACTGAGTCTGAGGCTGAGGCTGGAACAGGGACAGGGACTGGGACGAGCAAGGCTGAGGAAAGCGGCAACTTTGCTAAACTAATTAAAATGCATATTCTGGCTGCACATAAATGTGAAAAGTTTCGCTAGATATATAGTCGCATAGTCGCCTGTTGGTCTAGTTGCATGGTAAACAGGTACAATGCGACTTAATCCGCAAATGGGCATGGGTTAAACAAATAGATGACTGAGCCTCAGCCTGGACACGTTGATGACAGTTTTTGCCAGGGCGGGCGAGGAGCCTGCAATTTGTATAACATGCTGGGCAGCCAACAGTTGGGCTCAGTCTTAGACACCGCCACCTGCCCCCACCCACCCCTGCGCACAGTTAAACCAAAACTTTTTGTAAACTCATTAGAGCTGTCGGCCGAGCCAAACCAGCCAAGCCCAGCCAAGCCGAGCCAGCCAAGCAAGCAACTAAGCAACTGCGCTAACCAAACAGGCGTTCTGCCTGGTTTCAGGGGGGGGTGGGGCTCTTGGGTGGTGGGTCACAAGTTTGCTTCTTTTAATGCCCTGAACTTATATGGAGTATGGTTATGAAGGGTATAATAGGCTAGTGCAAAAGCATGTAACAGGCAAAAGGAAGCCTTAACCGAAAATAATCGAGCATATTCCATCTGATATAATATCGATAAATATCGAATGGAATGGAATGTGTCGAATCTCGAGAGTCCCTACCAGCTTATTTATTTATGAATTTTTCGAATTTAGATATTTTATGAAGTCAATAAGACTGTCCCAAGCTGAAATAGTTTTCAGACACGACAAAATACTACATGTTCCACAGTGTGGGCTAAAGGGAGGAAGGCGCTGGGTATCTTATAGTCGGACACTCGCTTTTATTTGTATTTTTTCTGAATGCAAGAAAACAGTCAGGTCGGTAGCTAAAGAAACGGGTCAGGGACCGAGCCGTGGACAGACGGGACAGGACAACAGAGGACAGGACGGGCTGGCAAACAAAAGGCAGGCCCGGCTAAGATAAACAGGCAACTTCTTATGCAGGCAGGGCTTACTGTCGCTTTTCATGCGGCTAAACATGCCCGGCGGTGCAGTTGAAATTTTATTTATTGCATTAACTTGAAACCGCTCGGCAAGGACGCGCCCAAAGTGTGGCGAACGGGGCGAGGGGTTGGCCGCCTGCGGGGGTAGCTACTCGTAATAAACATAATGAAAATGATGTTCATAATGAAGCGCACTAATCGACTCTTCTAGCAAGGGCGCAGCTGTCGCTGTAAGTTTACGAGAGCCGTGAGCTGCCAAGTTGAAAACTATGCCGTTTATGTTCCAAGGCTTAATCTGGAAACAAAGTATAATCTATAAACTAACCAACAGACGGACTGACGAACTGATTGACTGAATGATGATCGTGTAGTCCAAACCGCAAGCGATATGAATTTCTCACAGCGTTTGTTATGCATGAGGAACTCTGGCTAATTCCGCCGGCAGGGGTGGAAAATTGATGGAAATTATGCACAAGCAACATTTTATTATAAAATTGTTTTAAGGCAGCTTTGTATAAATCCCGAGAAGAGGGCGCAGAGAGGGGGGCTTCATATTATATATATTATAAAAATAAGATAAATTTGGAAAACCACATTCAGGAGACGAAAATGAATAAAAGCTTTGTTTTGTTCTTAATTTAATATAAAAAAATTGGGCCGCGCAAAGCCGAGTAATATTCACGCGGGCAGCATTTAAGAAGAGCTTGCTTTTTATTTCAAATGCGATTGCTTACACTTGAAAAAACTTGGGCAAACAGGGCTTCATATGCATCACAATTGACAGCAGGAAGTTTGGGCGATTAAGCCGATGCCTGTATGTGTGTCTACATGAGTGTGTGTGTGTGTGCGTGCGTGTGTGTGGTTGCATAAATAAATATATTTTGTAGAAATTAACATATGTCCTTCAGCGCGTCTGTCAGTTTGCATGTGGGATGTGGCACAAGAAATTGATTGTGTGGAAAATTTAATGTGCGCAACATTCTCATAGCATACTTTTGAGTGTTTTGCAAATTGCAATAATTGCAGGCATATGTAACTACAGCTGGGCGTGTGTGTGTGCATTGACAATTAAAATGCTTTTGTAAAATGCTACATACACACATATATATTAATTCCCTTCTTGTTTGACCTTTGTATCGCTGGCCATTCCAATAATAAAATTGACTTACTGCCCACGCATTATGCGCTCCACACATATTTACACACTTTTATGTGTGTGTGTGTGTGTGTGTGTGTGTGTTTAAATTTGTATTATGGTGTGAGTGTGGCAGGTATTTATTAATATTGTTCAACTGAAAATAATTATGCTGGTGTTAAGTTAAGCGTTAAGCACTTTGCCAAAATGATGGGCAATTAAATTGCAGCCACGCGGTAGAAAGAAAGAAAGAAAAACGCTGGGCTACAAATTAAAATCAATTTTACAGTGTTTAAAAACACATGGCAAAAAAATATAGCAAAATTGTTTTTAAATTTAAACTCGATTAATTGATAGACAAAAGGCTGCACCGTAAAGATAACGTGGATTTTGTTTGCTTTGCATATTCCTTGCTTTACGCTTGTAATTCTCAATAAGTTTAAGCATTAAAAAGGAAAGAAGGCCTTTACAATAGAATAGATAGAACCGGGAGATTCTTAAATTAGCTTAACAGATTAACGTAATAAGTACAGAAAAACAAACATTGAGCTGATCAACTAAATCTTTCTATTTCTAAACTTATTTATTTATTATTAATTTTTAATTCTTTCAAAAGTTCAGTACGCTTTGAAAGGTTTGAAATTAATTTAAATAATATAAAATTAAAAATTTGTATTTAATAATAATTCCCACTGTGCAACATTTCAATATGAGACACGCCCACTTTAATGTCTAACGCCCTTTCGCAATTTTTTACAATTCTGGCGAGTCATAAGTCTGATTGAAACGCATTTGCAATTGATGCAAGAGTTCAAAGCACACGAATTGTGCATAAATTAAGTGTCAAACTGGCAGCTGGGCGGGAGAGGTTGGGCGGGTGGAGGTTGGCTGGGTAGAGCACAAGTTCACTTGACATTTCTTGGCAGTTTTGCGACTTTCATTTGACAGATGTCAAAACGTTGGGGGAACTCAATTAGTTGCCACCGCAAATGGCCTCAGCGGAGGTTGGAGGTTTGCATTGACAAATGCTGCGAGAGTGGTTCGAGTGGTTCGTGTGGTTGGCGTGGCGGTCAGCTATGTCGGGTTTATTTAAGCCATAATATATATGCGAGACATTTGTGAGTTTTTAAATAATTATTTAATTCTTAACAGCTATGCGGCATGACTTTAATTTAGCCTTAGTAATAAGGCCAACATAAAACAGCCTCAAATCGATTACAAACTAAAACTAGAAATTAGCTTAACATGCCCGCCACTGGGAACTGGATGACACACATTGCCGCCTGGCGCTATGCTCGGGTCATAGACGAGGGGCTGTGCGGAAAGGGGGTGGGGAATGGGGAACTGCCTCACAGCTCGGTGCTCTCCATGTGCGGATTGGCATTGCGAATGCCCAGATTTTGTAGCTTGCGCAAACGATGTATCTGATGCCGTAGCTTGTGCTTGAACACAATCTGATTGTTGACCGTCTTCAGGTCGTCCGCGCTGCAGCCTTTCAGATTGCGCCAGGTCTTGGCCAGCAGCGTTTCGGTAATGAAGTATTTGGCCTTCGACAGACGAATATACTCCACCTTGCGACGGGCTAGCTGCTCCCGATACAAGTACAGATGATAGCCAACGCTGGGCGGCTGCTCCGAATGCTGCTGTTGTGGCGAGTTGTTGTTGCTCTCGTTAACAAGTTGCTGGTAGCGTGGCATGTTGCAGTTGCAGTTGCAGTTGTGGCGACACTTCGATTTGATTGCTCCCAATTTAGATATTGTCCAGGATCGAGGAGAGATGCTACCGCTGCTGCTCCAGCTGTTGTTGCCTCAACAGAGTTTGCTTTGGGTTTGATGTCAGCAAACGCATTCGACATCCTTTTTATGCAGTCGACTGCACGACATGCCACGTACCTGTCCGAACTTTAGTCATCCCTTTTTTTTTGTTGGGTCACGGCACATGCTACCTAGTCAGGTTCTACCTACCTGTTCGTGTGTGTTGCATTTTGACTTGTGCCGCAATAAAAAACGATTCATTCTTAATCTGCTTGCGAGCCATAAAGTTTCACATATTTTGCAAACATGTTCATTCTTAATCCGATCGCTAATCCGGCTGACAGCTACTGACAGCTACTCTTAAAAAAAATCGCCTGGCCTATAAAAAGATTAGACATCTTCGTGCCAGTTCAATTTTCCAAGCAGCTGTAAGAACGCAGCCCGACAAGCAGTTGCATGTCCTGCGGCAGGCCGCAAAGGGGTAAGAAGCAAGGGCTGCCAGGATTGGTTCTTTTTGGCCCGTTGCAGCTGCCGCGAGAAATCTTCATTAATGATCAGCTCGCCCAGCTCTGAAATTGACAATCAATTCAATTCCGGCAAAATTTTAGCTTTTTTATGCCCAAGCCGAAGCTTGACTTTTGTCAAGCTCTGTAATCCTTGCGATTTATATCCCATTCTCAGCTTGCTTTCAGTTTTCGCTCTTAAATCAAAAGGCAAACTTTTATAACTGTCTGGCTTGGAAAAACAGATGAATGAAAAGTGTCGCGTATATTTCAAGACAAGTTTTTCATCTCGGTTTTCATATTTTTCATATTTACTTTTATTTCGCTCTTCTCATCTTTTTCTTTTTGCATAAGACAATCATGTCAATTTCTAGATCAAATAAAACAAAGTTCAACCTACTTTTGCACACAAAATAAATACGAACTAAAAGTGGCAAAAAGTAAGCGTTAGAAAAATAAAAGAGAAGAAGCAGAAGAAGAAAGTGATAGACCTCTGGCAAAAATTATGGCAAACTTTTGCTTTTTAAATCTAACGAAACGAAACGTGGCAAACTTTGCCAACTTTAATGTTGAAATAAGCAATTTTCGCGTTCAACTACATACACACACAGACAGACAGACACACACACACACACACATACGCACACAAAGAACAGTGTCTGTGCTGGCGTCTGAGACTGTGCGCAGGGCAAAAAAGATTGAAAAGTAATTGCATTCAAGAGCTTGTAGTTAAAAATTTATAGATGTAGTGCACAAGAATCTGGACGTAAAAAACGTACAAAAATGACGATGTTGCCGCTGCTGAAAATATTGAAAATGCAATTGCTGGCAACATGCCCCCGAAAAACCCCCGCGATGCAACGGTAATTGCAGAAATTTGAGCACGGCAAAGAAACAAAAACAAGACGGAAATCTTATCTGTAGAAGGCCGAGCATCAAATGCTCTAGCAGACTTTTGTCCACACTTTGCCAGAGAAGGCTGCAATTGGGACTATTGTGTGGCATCGAACTGGTTCGAGTTCAAGAAATGAATACGAACAGAAACTCAAGCCAAATAAGTTAACCAAAATATAGTCGAACTGAATCAAACCAAGCAGTACGAGAAGTCGAGAGTTGTTACAAAGCTTCGCAGCTGATGACGATTCTTAACGAGAATCGAAATATATTGGAGATAAAAAGGGTTCCATTATGCTTAAATTTAAGTAGTCCAAGTCCAGAATTTAAAGCTGACCTAGGCCCAATAATTTTATAAAAATATGCACCACGTCCGTAGATCTAAACAATTTAAATTATTTGCCATAAAATAAGAAACCCTTCAGGTGGATTAGCTTCATAATATTCTTAACTGTGCTCGAACCCTGCATGTAACCATATTTGGTAATTGCCAATTTCGGTTAAAGACTTCTTACGCATCTGGTCTATGAAAATATGTACAGCGGGCAGTATTACCAGTATGAAAACATTCTGAACTAAATCGTAATTGTTTCTGAAAAGTTGTATGTATATATGACAAACCGAAACCAGAATTTAAGACTGTTGAAAAACACCTTCATGTATCAAATCTGAAGGCAGAAAGTTAGTTCAAATCATGAACTGAACCTACAGTAGATTTTTTAATACCTTGAATCCACAATAAATGGGTAAAAAGAGTATATTGTGTTTTTTTCTTTTTAGCTCTGGTTTTTATAGAGGAACTTAATTAACGGCATATTGTTTTCGTAGGAGCAATATTATGTCATGGATCAGTCTAAATGTATAAGATGTATTTTAGTAAAAAAAAGCGAAAGCCAATTGAAGTTCGAAACTTTCTAGTTTAGTTAAGTTAGCTCAATATGCCACCCAATAGAACCTTTGCTCCTAGATGGTATCTATGGCCGCTATATAATATATTGGTTCTAGACAAAGCTTCATCCGAGAGATGAGTTTACATTGCAGCAGACAGACGACTCTGCCTGCCTAAGGGTAAATATACATATACTTAATGGGGTCAAAGATGTCTCTCCTCTCACGTCTCACATATTTCACGGCAATATCATAATAGCCTTTCGGCAAGGGCATGCAAAAAATCCAGCGCGAAGCTCTTGCATTGAGCATACAAATAAAAGTAAGTTAAATTGCAAATGAAATGAAATCAGCTCTTTAGCCCATTGTTTCATTTGCTTGTACATCTGCCATTTACCAGCTCGCATCTCCCATTTCCATTTTCCATTAGCATTCGTATTCGGCATTCGGCATTTCCATTGCCATTTTCATTTGCATTATTAACGGCATGAGTGAAATTTTAGCAGCATGTGAAGCAGCATTTAATTTGCCTTTTCCTAGTTTTTACTGCATATTTTGGCCACGCTAGCAGATGATTGCAAACAGATTCAACAGAATTTTCACATCCTTGAATTTTCATATGGTTTGCCTTTTTGTCTCGTTTAATGGCTTAATTTCAAAGAAAATTGTTTGGATTTGCCTTACGTATGCATGTAAACGCATGTGTGTGTGTGTGTGTGTGTGTGTGTGTGTGTATCTGTGTGTGTGCTTAACAGATTGAGAGTTTGTTGAGAGCTGAACGAAATTAAAACATTCTGTGTGAATTCGTATAGGTGGAAACGGCAGCTTGAAAGCAAGTAAGAATGAACGCTGCTCGACTAGGAGACACCCTGTATTCAGTCTAGAAGAGCCTCAGAAAATATTCATGCTTATTTATATAAAAACCATTTCTTGCTCACCCTCATAGCGCTCTCTTAAAACTTTTGTTGAATTGAATCTTTATAAAACTTTCGGTCTGCAAAAATATATTGTTAAAATATATACACAAAATGAATGCTAGACCCCCTCGTTATTTTACAGTTTTGGATGTAATGGAAAAGGGGCATATTTGAAAAAATAAAATTCAATTCATATTCCAATTTTCTTTCTCTCAAAGTTTCCGTCTCCTTCTCCGAATTAATCACATTCGCACACAATATACCCCTTGCCACCAATTTACCAATGAATACAGGGTATTTAAAACTTTATCTCAATGTTGCCATTTGAAAACAATATGACAACACAATAAGCTCATATGGATTTTAAATGTGTATCAATTTGTGAGCTTGTAGCTTTTAGGATTGTACATTTATTTTTAAGTGTGGCGTTTAACCTTTGGCCACGTGAAAGAGCAGGAAAATCATTTGATTTGTTTATGGAAAAAAACAATTTTCAAGTATCTTGTGTAGTCTTGAGGCTGGTTCGCATTAAGTTTGGCTCGTTTGTTATATTATCTGCCCATATATGTGCTCCCGACTCTGAACTCTTTGCCCAGCTGTCAGTTGCAATTAGCCAACTGTTGGGCACAAAATAACAGGTAATATACACAACACACACACAACACACAAACACACAAACTTAACACATAATCAAAATGCCGTAAATCAGTAAATTTGATATGCAGAGTCCGACAAGTTGATTTGACAGCCTCGCGCTACAGCTACATTGTTAGGCCCAAGGCCCCGCGAGCTTTCCCAGCTGGGCGTTAATTGCACAAACTATTAAAGGGGGCTTGGGTGGGCAAGGGGGCGGGGTATGTGTGTAAAGGAGACCGCCATCAAGGCGACGTAAATCAAATCAAATTGCAATTAAAGTGCCATTCGATGCCGAAGCACTTTAAAATGCAGGCGGCATGCGAAAAATGCAGCTGCCAGGCGACAATTGCGATTGGAAGAGAGAGGAGGGAAGCGTGAAAGGAAAGGCTGAAGGAAAAACCAAGAACTGAGGAAATGGGAAGTGTAGCTGCGCATTCGGGGGTTTGAGGGGTTTGGGGGGCAATTAATTAAGGCAAACCTCAGCGCCGCTCGAAAGTATGCAACACACGAACCGCAAAGGCAATGAAATATTGCAATCAGCAAAAGAATGAAAAGCCACTAAATGCACAGAAGACGGCAAAAACCCGGAAAGCAACAGCAACCAGGAGCCAGCAGCCAGGAGCCAATAGCTGCTGCTCCTGCTTCTGCTCGCTTGGCAGCACCCGCTTGCCAAAATTAGTTTCTGTGTCAAAAGTTTGAAATGAGCAAGCGCCTGGCTTGGCCCTGCAACCGAAGCAGCTGAAGAACTGAGAACTGAGGCAAAAAACTGCCAGAACCGGGGAGCCAAAAAGAAAGACAACCAAACGCTGCTCCAAGATGTGAATCTCCGCTGGAAAGATATTCTGTAATAAAGTGCATACGTCTACTGTACGCCTTTCTCTTCCAGCTCATTTCAAATAACTAGTGTGCTTCTCATTAGATTAATTTTTAATTTAAAACTGCTTAAGATAATAAGTAGAGATGTGTGTATACCAAGAGTCGGGGCTATAGTGCAAGAGTTTTCGAGTTTTTGGGAAAGTGAAATATTCTTGAGGATTATAGGTTCGATACTATCTACAAAAATATCTATATATATTATATATAGGCTTAATACTATCTTAAAAAAAAAAAAGATCAATAAACGGGGGTAGAAAATCGACACTTATCGATTTCTGAGAAAATGAAAGCTTTCAATAATGTAAGCGTAGATGCCAAGTTGTAAGCTTTAACAGACAGACGAACTTGACTAGCTTATCTCGGTTGATCGAAAATATACTTAATTTTATCTTGCATACCCATTCTGATAATTGGCCACAGGGTATAAGAACTCGTTGAGAGCGAGACAGTGCGTCGAGGACAAAGTTTGTCGCTGATGTAGTTAAGAATTGGCAGCAAATGCTGCTTAATTTCAAAAGAAACTTTACGTATTTGTCATGCGGCGCACATTCATTGCGGTGTTCATTTGGGCGCACATTGACCCAGCCCACAAGCTGCAACTGCAACGGCAACTGCAACGGAGACATTTGACAAACTTGCCCCAGTTGGCATTTTGGTTAGCTTTATCAGCCCCGTTTTTTCCTTATCTTTGATCATATTTAATAATTCATCAGCAAGCAGCTGAGCTCTTTTGAGTGAGGCGTTGCACGCTAATTTGTGGCCGCTTTGCCAGCGCAGGCTACTTGCGCGCTTCATTTCCTGCGGCCGACTGCCGTTTGACTTGCTGGTTCCGTTTCCGTTTCAATGACGCTTTGATTGGACTTGCGGTCTCCATCCTCCACCCTCCACGCTCCACCGCAATGAACTTCACGTGCCGCGTTAATTATTATGGAGCACAGCTCATGGCTAACCGCGACGCCAACTTGAATAACGCTTGCGAATTTTCGACTTGAGCTCATTTAAAAGCTGTGCAGTCAATATTTGCCCCACTGTCAAATTAATATTCAATCCCAAGCAGCTGGTCAACGCTTCAACCTCTTCAAACTACTTGTCATATCCATAAAAACCCAATTAATTGTGTACATTATTTGACCTCAGACATAATTTGGCGAAGGCAGCTCTCAATGAACAGCTAAACAGCTAAGTTGAGAAAAGTATTTCGAATTTTGTACTCAAATCAGAACGAAACTCTATTTGACTCATTCCTATATACGAATCTTGCAGCAAGATTTGGACATGAATATCGACTAAAAAATCGGTGTTCAGATTTGAATGCCAGATTAATTTAGAGGGAAAACCATTAAGAAAAATACAAATCTCGTGAAAATCGAATGAGATTTGACCGAGGTATGGGAGTGGTAAATTTTGACCTGTGTCTATATACGATCTTACGGGGTAAGATTTGGACATGAATTTCGACGAAAAAATCGGTGTTAAGATTTGAATGCCAGATTAATATAGAGGGAAAACCATGAAGAAAACGCCAAACTTCGTGAAAATCGGATAAGATTTGACCGAGTTATGGGGGTGGTAAATTTTGAACCATGTCTATATACGAATCTTGGGGTAAGATTTGGACATGAATTTTGACGAAAAAATCGGTGTTCAGATTTGAATGCCAGATTAATCTATAGGCAAATCCATGCAGAAAACGCCAAGCTTCGTGAAAATCGGATGAGATTTGACCGAGTTATGGGAGTGGTAAATTTTGACCCACGTCTATATACATACATATGTACGAATCTTGGAGTAAGATTTGGACATGAATATCGACTAAAAAATCGGTGTTCAGATTTGAATGCCAGATTAATCTATAGGGAAACACATGCAGAAAACGCCAATCTTCGTGAAAATCGGATGAGATTTGACCGAGTTATGGGGGTGGTAAATTTTGAACCATGTCTATATACGAATCTTGGAGTAAGATTTGGACATGAATTTCGACGAAAAAATCGGTGTTCATATTTTAATGGCAGATTATTGTAGAAGGAAAATCGTTAAGAAAAATACAAATCTCGTGAAAATCGGATGAGATTTGACCGAGTTATGGGGGTGGTAAATTTTGAACCACGTTTTTATACAAATCTTCGGGTAAGATTTTGAAATGAATTTAAGTGACAGCCTAACTTTCAACATTATTCGCTTTACCCGAGCGTCGCCGGGTAATTTCTACGAGTAGTCTAATTTATCTGTTTTTATATTTATAAAATTGGCTGCTAATTCCACTAAATGCAGACCCGTGGAAACAGAACATTACGTGAGATTGTTGCGATTTTTGCTTACCTCAGAGATTTTCGGCTAGCTGCTGCAGATATTTGTTTTACCTGCAATAAATAAAATAAAATAATATATGATTATTATTGCTGTGTCGGCGGCAGGCGTTACATTGGCTTATAATATATTTATTTATTTATTTGATTTTGCGCACGTTTATTCCGCAAATTTTAATCTTTACACAATTGAATGGCAATGCACACGCAAACGATTATTTTCCATGAAATACATTTTTGCCTTTTCGTTTTTCTTCCAAAGATAAACAAAACTTTTGCTTGATTTCACGCCTATTGGCGGCTTCATTATCGCTGTGGGCGAGGTGCGGGAGGGCGTACTCTTACTTCTGGGTGCGGGCCAAAAAACATTTCCGGGCTTAAAAGCGAGCAATGCGAGAATGCATTCGTGTGTGAAAATGATTTTTAAATTGGCGCCGAGCACCGCGGCGACAGTCAAAAGGAATTTCAGATTTGAGATTTGAGATCTCAAAAGCCGATGGAGAAGAAAACACAATGCGAGGTGGGGAGAGAGAAGCGAAGCGAGGCGTGGCAAATGTAAAATTTTGACAGCTTTTAATTGTGCAGCGAAGTGTGCAAATCCTGTGTAAAACACTCGCACAACAATCACACATCCATTTCAATCACAAAACGCAGCGCGTCACGGCCAGATATAGCTACAGATGCAGCCAAAGATACAGATACATTCGGATAAGCGGGCTGGGTCGCCAGATTTATGGCTCGGCGGGCAAAGGCAGCCGAAATTGCGTTTACCTTGGAACAGGTGCAATTAGCGCGGCGCATAATTTCACCACAAAGCACTTGAGGCTGCCGTGTGAATTATCATTAATAGACCAAAGTGAGAGTTTATATGTATTTTTTTTTGCTAGGCGCAGCTTCCTACCTAATGGCAGCGCCGCCCAGGGCCGGGCCAAGCCACGATTTACGTCTCTTAAGCACTTTTCTCACATGACGCCGCGGCCTGTCAGCAGTTCATCAGAGCTGCCGCGGGACGTGGCATCAAGACGCTGCACACTCGACTCGAGTCGACTCGACTCTCTCCCTGTGCAAAAACTTAATTAAAATAAAATTAAATTCAAGGCGAGCGTCCCTTTTGGCTGGCAGCAAGCGCATTATGCAAATGCTTAGCATTTGAACTCGGAGCACAGCTCATGGCTAACCGCGACGCCAACTTGAATAACGCTTGCGAATTTTCGACTTGAGCTCATTTAAAAGCTGTGCAGTCAATATTTGCCCCACTGTCAAATTAATATTCAATCCCAAGCAGCTGGTCAACGCTTCAACCTCTTCAAACTACTTGTCATATCCATAAAAACCCAATTAATTGTGTACATTATTTGACCTCAGACATAATTTGGCGAAGGCAGCTCTCAATGAACAGCTAAACAGCTAAGTTGAGAAAAGTATTTCGAATTTTGTACTCAAATCAGAACGAAACTCTATTTGACTCATTCCTATATACGAATCTTGCAGCAAGATTTGGACATGAATATCGACTAAAAAATCGGTGTTCAGATTTGAATGCCAGATTAATTTAGAGGGAAAACCATTAAGAAAAATACAAATCTCGTGAAAATCGAATGAGATTTGACCGAGGTATGGGAGTGGTAAATTTTGACCTGTGTCTATATACGATCTTACGGGGTAAGATTTGGACATGAATTTCGACGAAAAAATCGGTGTTAAGATTTGAATGCCAGATTAATATAGAGGGAAAACCATGAAGAAAACGCCAAACTTCGTGAAAATCGGATAAGATTTGACCGAGTTATGGGGGTGGTAAATTTTGAACCATGTCTATATACGAATCTTGGGGTAAGATTTGGACATGAATTTTGACGAAAAAATCGGTGTTCAGATTTGAATGCCAGATTAATCTATAGGCAAATCCATGCAGAAAACGCCAAGCTTCGTGAAAATCGGATGAGATTTGACCGAGTTATGGGAGTGGTAAATTTTGACCCACGTCTATATACATACATATGTACGAATCTTGGAGTAAGATTTGGACATGAATATCGACTAAAAAATCGGTGTTCAGATTTGAATGCCAGATTAATCTATAGGGAAACACATGCAGAAAACGCCAATCTTCGTGAAAATCGGATGAGATTTGACCGAGTTATGGGGGTGGTAAATTTTGAACCATGTCTATATACGAATCTTGGAGTAAGATTTGGACATGAATTTCGACGAAAAAATCGGTGTTCATATTTTAATGGCAGATTATTGTAGAAGGAAAATCGTTAAGAAAAATACAAATCTCGTGAAAATCGGATGAGATTTGACCGAGTTATGGGGGTGGTAAATTTTGAACCACGTTTTTATACAAATCTTCGGGTAAGATTTTGAAATGAATTTAAGTGACAGCCTAACTTTCAACATTATTCGCTTTACCCGAGCGTCGCCGGGTAATTTCTACGAGTAGTCTAATTTATCTGTTTTTATATTTATAAAATTGGCTGCTAATTCCACTAAATGCAGACCCGTGGAAACAGAACATTACGTGAGATTGTTGCGATTTTTGCTTACCTCAGAGATTTTCGGCTAGCTGCTGCAGATATTTGTTTTACCTGCAATAAATAAAATAAAATAATATATGATTATTATTGCTGTGTCGGCGGCAGGCGTTACATTGGCTTATAATATATTTATTTATTTATTTGATTTTGCGCACGTTTATTCCGCAAATTTTAATCTTTACACAATTGAATGGCAATGCACACGCAAACGATTATTTTCCATGAAATACATTTTTGCCTTTTCGTTTTTCTTCCAAAGATAAACAAAACTTTTGCTTGATTTCACGCCTATTGGCGGCTTCATTATCGCTGTGGGCGAGGTGCGGGAGGGCGTACTCTTACTTCTGGGTGCGGGCCAAAAAACATTTCCGGGCTTAAAAGCGAGCAATGCGAGAATGCATTCGTGTGTGAAAATGATTTTTAAATTGGCGCCGAGCACCGCGGCGACAGTCAAAAGGAATTTCAGATTTGAGATTTGAGATCTCAAAAGCCGATGGAGAAGAAAACACAATGCGAGGTGGGGAGAGAGAAGCGAAGCGAGGCGTGGCAAATGTAAAATTTTGACAGCTTTTAATTGTGCAGCGAAGTGTGCAAATCCTGTGTAAAACACTCGCACAACAATCACACATCCATTTCAATCACAAAACGCAGCGCGTCACGGCCAGATATAGCTACAGATGCAGCCAAAGATACAGATACATTCGGATAAGCGGGCTGGGTCGCCAGATTTATGGCTCGGCGGGCAAAGGCAGCCGAAATTGCGTTTACCTTGGAACAGGTGCAATTAGCGCGGCGCATAATTTCACCACAAAGCACTTGAGGCTGCCGTGTGAATTATCATTAATAGACCAAAGTGAGAGTTTATATGTATTTTTTTTTGCTAGGCGCAGCTTCCTACCTAATGGCAGCGCCGCCCAGGGCCGGGCCAAGCCACGATTTACGTCTCTTAAGCACTTTTCTCACATGACGCCGCGGCCTGTCAGCAGTTCATCAGAGCTGCCGCGGGACGTGGCATCAAGACGCTGCACACTCGACTCGAGTCGACTCGACTCTCTCCCTGTGCAAAAACTTAATTAAAATAAAATTAAATTCAAGGCGAGCGTCCCTTTTGGCTGGCAGCAAGCGCATTATGCAAATGCTTAGCATTTGAACTCGTTGCCAACTGTCAGAGACGTGTGCAATTGCACTAAAAACTTAACGATGCATAAATTGTGGTTGCCGTGTGTTGCCGTCTGTTGCCTCGCTATCTGATAAGCTACAATCAAATGCAATCAAACTAAATTCAATTTTATGGCCAGCAAGCCAAAGAGAAGCCGCCGCCGATTGCTTAGAAGATCAACTCAAGTGAAGTGAGCTGGAAAACAACAACAACAACAACGTCTAGAGACAGGCAAATCCAGCTGAGATATTGCTTAGCAGCTGCGTCTAAACACGAATTAAAATCCAACTCTAGCCCGCAGAGCTCAACTGAAACCCAAACTTGAGCTAAACCAGCTGCTTACCAAATAATTTGCAAATTTGATTTGATATAAAAGCAAAGAGCGGCGGGCTGGCAAATAAGGGGCGGAAGGGCGCAGGCAAATCAAAAAAAATTTGAAAATCGAATGAGCGAAAAGACCGTAAATCGAGCAAATGGCTGGCAAGCGTTAAGAAAACTCACAAGAGAAATCACGCAACTCGGCGCAGAGATGCCGATGTGGCCTTTTTTATAGACGCTGTGCCCATTAAAATAAGGGTATATCTGAGTATGTACAAGAAGTAGGACTGCATATCTGCCTATTTGCCTATCTGTTCGCCTTACTACATTTGATGTATCAAATCTATGGATAAGCTTTCCCTCATTTCCCCTGATTTGGTTTTGAGTATTTGAGATATGTAATTTGAGATGTTTCAGATATATAATTCAGAGTCCACATTCATTTTAAAATTGTCGATAACCCATCGAGACTTTTTTAAGTCGCAATCGATAAATACCGATCCGACAATTACCCTACTTTAATGTCTTGAATGTACCAATTACAGAATAACTTAATTTTGGCATCCCAACGAACATTTTGTTGCGTCACAATCGATAAATATCGATTAAGCATTTTCCATAATTTAAAACTGAGATATTTCATATTTTTAATATTGTCGAAAGACCATCCCACCCCTTTCTTCCTTACCATCGGTGCATATCGATTCGATGTTTACGATAATTTGGCATTAAGGCTCTTAAGGTTTTTTTTCACACTCGATATAAACTGATTACTATGTCTGATTTTTTGAGCATATCTCGACTCTGTAGCTTTTGCATGTTGCTTCTCGGAAGCATGAGTACAGGGTATCTTGCAGTCCCACTTGATTAACGACTGTCATTTTTGAGTAGTAAGTCAACTGTGTGGAGCTATTAGTGCCGCAGCTACCACGTGCTGACAACTCTGACAAGAATCAAAAGCCACGAAAAAGCTTAGTCCGAGGCGAGAGAGGGTTGCACTGGAAAAAAGCCAGCGAATTGTGACGCCGAGATTGCCAGCCAAAGTTGCGGAAATGAAGATGACGACGACGACGACGACGATGGCGACTGTTGCTGTCTGCTGTGGATTTGGCTGTGGATGTGGATGTGGCCCAGGCCCCTTGGCAATTCAATTCAAGCGTGGCGAAAACGCTTTGCACTGCATTCGATTCATGCAGTTTGCCAGGGGGTGGCGGGTCGGGGCAGGGAGGGGAGGGGGTAGTGAGCTCTTTGCCCCGCACCCGGCCGCTTATTGGCATCATTGACTCCGACAACAGGCGGCAACACCGCAGAACTGAGCCGCCAACCGCCAACCGACAACCCCGTCAGACGCTTTGTCTGTTTGATCTGCCAATTTTTTTTTTTCTGAGCCCTGCACATTTTTTTTTTACTTTTCGGCTTGCCTTCATTTCTTGCGCAAGCGGAAACACAACTTGCACTGTGTGTGTGTGTGTGTGTGTGTGTGTGTTTGCTTAACATTGTTCGATATTTGGTTCAGCATCCATCTCCGCCTCCGCTTCCGCCCCTTTGCCCCCGCTGCCAGCCTGCCGGCTTCTTCTGTTCATTTCTTGACTTCGATGTTTATCTGCAATGATTTGCGATTTTCCGGCAATTTACGCAAAAATATGTGACGAAATTTTAGCTTGTGTGTGTTCGTGTGTGTGTTTGTGTGTGTGTTTGTGTGTGTGCTCAACTGCAACCATTTTGTTTTTTATTTTGAAATGTCTATCCAGCCCCAGCTAAGCCCCCCTATCTCTTCTTTATGCGTTGCGCGCGTGATGCCAGCCCGAAATTTACCAAGAAAATTAGCGTGCAAAAATGTTGATGGCAAATATTTGCGTAGCAACAACAACAACGATAATAGCAACTGCAAAAACAACAACAACTATGTCGGGAAGAGCATCCCACGCTTTGCAATTCGTTTTACAAAATTTTGGGTGATTGGCTTTGCCATTTGCCTCTGCAGTTAATTGAATTTGGAAAGGTGAAAGGCTCCGAGTCGTCCCGCATCTCAGGCCAAAAATGGAATTTCGTTTGCGATAACAATGAAGCATTTTATTTTCTGATTTATGGAGCTGCCGTCGCGCTCGCTTGCAAAGCCATCGATAGTCGGGTAAAAGGGCTGCATTTCGATTAGTGCATAACATAGATTGTGTCTATTAGACGATGTGGCGGAAATGTAATCGAAGCTGAGACAAATTGCAGGGAAAAGCCAACAATGTAGGAAAATGGAAAACGACAATCTTTGTGGCTAGATGAAATGAATATATATAAATCAATTAAATGGAGAGCCTCTGCTGTTTTTTTCGACAGACTGGGGATAGGTTGTCTCGCTCATGGAACTATCAACATTCTTATATCTAGCTAAAGAAATACGTAGAATAACTAATAAGATATTGCAATCAAAGAGAACAGCAGGCTGATTAGCTGAAGAAACCCAGATCGACTCGGCTGATTTTCAGATAAGTTAAGCTCTATTATATATAAAATATGTATTTATATATATCTTCTGTTTGCCACAACTATTTGCAAGCCATTTTACGCAATTTGGCTACAATAATTCACAGCACAAGGGAATTTAATATAATACTGAATACTTTTCGCAAATTTTATGGCTTTAAATTCTCGTAAAATATAAATTGTATTTTTAATTAATTGCACATGCATTTGGCTTTAATGCAAAGTCAAAAAATGCTGTGTAAATACGGGGAAAGAAGTGGAAAAAAATATAAAAATGTAAAAATTAATTGCTTTAAACAACAGCACAAATGGCACAAAAAGGGGAAATGCTTGCCAGCAGCAACATCATCATTATCAACATCATCATCGTCATCATCAACATCATCATCGTCATCAACATCGTCATCGTCAGCATCATCGTCAGTTTTTTCAGTCTGGTAATGATCATGTGATGATTTGATAATTAAAAGCAAACATAAAGCGAAAGAGAAAACAAGATGAAAAAAACGTTCAAGTAATGAATGCCATCAAAATACGCCACACACAGATACGCAGAGACACACACAGATACAGAGAGACACACACAGTTACGCACAAACACATACAAACGCACTCAAACATTTACATACAACAGCAAAAATGTCGCACAAATTTTAAATGCCCCAAGCCACACAAGCGAAGCGAACGGAGCTAGAAACAGGCCCAGAGTCAGATACAAATACAGGGCCTGCTGACTCGGCATTAGCTACTGACCGATAGAGCAGCTTCTGTGCGGCGTCCTAGTCCTCCTAGTCTAGGCAGCTCGAGCCGAACAGTAGCTAAGCCAAGCGATAACAACTTTCAGAGACGCAGCTTCAGTTGTAGATGCGCTGGCTGGCGGTCGGGCGGAGGCGGGAGGAGGGAGCTCTGCGGCTGGCGACAAGGTTTCGCAGTTGATGAACTCCAAGTCGGACTCTACCCGGCCAACGCACATATATAAGTATATATATATCAACGAAAAGCGGCTGATCCGCTTTGCGAGCCGGCCATACATCTTATTGTATCTGTATCTGTTGCTCTGTAGCTGTATCTGGCAGATGCGGGCACGCACACGCAA